CCCCAAAACCCCAAAACCCCAAAACCCCAAGAGATTAATTCTAACTTACAAAAGAAATTGAGAAATAAAATTGTTTTGTTAACTAAAATTAATAATTGAATAATGTCAGAAGAAAGGGCAGGTAACAAATTAATTCCAGGAATGAAAGGGGGAAACGATCCTTATGATAGAGCTCACAACAGCAACTCTTAATAAAACAGATATGCCAGCTAAGAACATGTCGCCGATAAAAGAATGATTAAGTCATAGAGTGCTTTTGAATTGCATCGAAATGTTAAGAGTCCGTAAAACTAAATGGATGATAAGTTTTTTTCGCATAGAAATTCTTAATAGTCTCTGATGAAAACTTCAAAATAAGTAATTTATAGTAGATCTTATCAATTAAATAGAGTGGATTGGCTGCTTTAAGTATATATCAAGGAGGATTCTCTCAAACTCTCTCAGCAAACACCTTGAGAAACAGTCATTCACAGTGGTCTTTCCCTAAATAAGATCGTTTCAATAAAGTATCTAAAAAATTTACCTTTTTACTTTAATCTTTACAATATTATAGATCAGGATAGATAATAACGCTAAGTTCCTATGTCTGCCAGGAACACTTGATCCAGCGAAATCATCAGGATTCGGATTCGGAAATAAAAATGGTTTATAGATCATATCTGGAAGAGACTCTCCCCCTCCTAATTCATATAAACTAAGAGGATAATTCGAAAAATTAAAGCCAAATCAAGGTAAAAGTTTTGGCATGCCACATGCAGTTTATGCTAAGGTTTATATACCTGCTAACAAATACGGTTAATCAATGATAGAGGCTCCTGGACCAGGTACCTATGAATAAAAAGGATTAGTTGGAGTAAATGCTAAGAAATTCACTTTAAAGAGCAGAGTTAAACCAGCTGATAGTGCAACTAGAGATAACCCTCCTCCAAATACATACCACTTAAACTATAATCTCTCTGAATTACACAAGTTTTCAGCTATTACTTTCGGGTTCGGCAACAGATGTAATGTCACTGGATGTAAATTTATTTTGTGCTAATACATTTTAAAGAAATAAAGGACACTCCTGGCCCTGGGACATACAAGATAGCTTCAGTCTTTGACAAATTTAAAAGACTCCCAGCTAAATAATACTATAGCTTTAAAGAAAACGGTGGACTCTCACCTAAGATGGGTCAGAAAAGGAGCAAAAGTGGAGATGGTCTGCCAAATGACTTAGACACTCTAGATGAAAATAATGACCTTTGAAATTTTAACAAAGTTTTTTATATATTTATTGAATTAATATATATATCTAATTTAATATTGAAGAGTTCACTCAAGGCTGCGATGATATCGAGTAAATTAATTCTCCAGAGAACTATATTCCATAATCAAAGTGTAGACTCCTTCATATTCTCGTCCTCTGAATTCACATATAAGTAACCCTTTTCATCTTACTCTTCACCAGGTGTGCGACTCTTCCTTGGTGATTCATGAAGTCTTTCAAGACTCTTTATATAATCCTCATAATCATCTCTTTCATCCTTCATATTTATCAAATAGCTGCAACCAGAGGAAATCACATTGAAAAGCTAAATTAGTATAATGGCGACAATGTCAATCTAAGATATCTTGGTATGAAATTAAAATGAGTCCCAAATACACACTAAAAGTATAGGAATTGTTGAAAGTACTCGAGTCTTCCTATCTAAAGACAAGTTCTATTTTATTTATATGTTTTTAAATGTATACACTGAAAATACCACCAGTAGTGAAAGTATGATAATATTTTTAGCTACACTTTCGAAGTTTAACTTAGCGCCAAACAATGGAAACATAAGGAAACTTATTACAACACAGATACATCCAGCATAGAGTTCAGTTAATCTAATCTCATTTGATCGAAGTGATTAAGAGCAATGTAAATAAAGACCTAGCAAGCAGCTGCTTGTTAATCCAAGAGCTGTACCAAAGATAAGAAGTCCATTCGACCTCAGGTATTAGTTTGTGAAATGTTCACTTTATTATTACGATTAAAGTAACTCATTAGGTAGAATTAGGTCAGGTCGCATAAGAGTAGTAATTCCAGCTAAAAATAGGAAAATGCAAAAAATTTCCAGCTGATTAATTCTTTTTTTGCTGATGATGAGTCCCCAGACTGCTTGAAACAGAGGGAAGCTAAAAATTAATACCGCTGAAAATGATAGCGGTAATATGTAGATTATCATATTCATTAGTACTAAACCTAAGGCAAGACTAGAGGAGCAAATAAAGTACAAATGTGATGTTATTTTAAGATTATCCTCCTCTTAATTGGACCCAAATGTATTAAGCCATTATTTCTCACGGTATGCTCCAAGGGCTAGAAGCACGATCCCTTGTAAAAGAGAAACATGGGAGAAATTTAGATTGGTTTCACTTTGGATCTATTTTACAATGGTTTAGGTTATACCTAAGCAGTTCATTCCGATAAAAACACCAAACATTTAATCGAATTATAGTGGTCTTCTCATTTCAAATTCCAATGTGTGACTATTTTAGTTGATTTTAATAAGTTGGCTGCTTTGTTCAACTTCCCCTTCACTTTCGTGTTCTTTTTCAGTGATCTGGTCAAGAAGGTGTCTTTGATCTTAATCGTATTTAGAGGCATTTAGGGTTTTTTGTACCTACTCCTAAAGCGTCAAATATTGTATTTCACGCATCTATTCCTAGTGCAGCTAGTGAATTTTCTCATGCAAGAGTTTATTTTACTACTCTTCATCTAAGGTCTTCAAGTATTAATTTGTTTCAATGTCAAATTTTAACGTTGTAGGAGACCGTACACTACGGTATTAATCACCTTCAGAATCTTTTAAACTCATTATTTTAATTCAAATTCTTAATTATATAACGGGTTGTGGAGAGCTCCTAACTCTTACTTTTCAAATCCTTTTTTTATTTATATGAAATTTCTTTAACTATTATATAGACTTTAATCTATGGGGTTTTGGGGTTTTGGGGGTTTTGGGG